ATATATATATATTTTGCTCAATCCCTTCATCGACTTTGATCCAGTCCCCCAACCCCTCGCCCCTCTGACACTTGTCAGTCTGTTCCCCGTATCCATGCCTCTGTTTCTAGTTGTAGGATTCAGTCTTAATTGCATGTTTATTTTGAGTTTATTTCTGTAGTCCCTCACCAGGATGCCAGCCTGTGACCAGTGTGCTATCTCAAGCACCTAGAAAGTGCTTGGCACATAGTAGATGCTCCATAAATATTTACTGAATGAATGAAATTAATGATTCTGCCTTCTCCCTACTTACATGTCCTTTCTTAAAGTTCTAGCTCTACATCTAGAAGCTCAGACAACATGCAGCTGTTAGGGATGCGTCTTTCCCAGGTACTCCAATTTTAATTGCCAAACTCCCAGGAAATAATATGTGAAGATAAAAGTAGTCCCAGGTGCCTTCCAACCCTTCCAGCTGACCCTCTATCCATTTAGAAAAACTCCTGATGATCCCTCCTCCTCCTTCACTTAACCCAGGGCCACTTACAAGGCCCCGTCGAAGGCCCTCCAGTTTCTATTTAAGCTGAGAATGGTTCTCATCTCCTCATCGGTCAATTGAAAGTCAAAGACCTGGAAAAGAGAGAATTCCAAAACATCAACGCCAAGCCCATTCCCGGTATGCTTTGAGATCTCTGTCATTCTCACCAGAAGCAAACTCACATGATGGGGCCACAGCCTTGCTCCCCTATGTCCACTGGATATGAGTTTGGCTCTAAATTAGATCCTACGGAGACTGCAGTATTGACAGGGTTTAGTGTTCCCAAGGGGAGAGTGACCAGGCTTATCAGCACTACCCATGTCTGCGCTCCTGATGGGCGGGTCTTCAAGTGTGGTCCATGCCTGCCTACTGCTGTGTGTGGCCCCAGAACCTAACTGCTCAGGGGCAACCGCAGGTCTTCTCAGTGGTGAGAGGCACAGCTGTGCTCAGACCTAACAGGACTTGCCTGCTGCGCCCCCAGCGCCCACAGATCATTCAGCTCCACTGAGGACAGTTCCCTGGCCTGAGAGATGACAGGGTGGTGGGAAGGGGGTGAGGCCCACAGACAACGCGGGGATGGGATGAGAAGCCCAGTGACAGAGTCTCTCTCTCCCCCCCCCCGCCC